AAACAGAACACACATAAAACAAGGTTATGTACTGATCCATTGATGAAAACGTGGCCACAGCCTCACAGGAACCTCAGCCTTTATTTCACCAGGAAAGATGATTCAGGATTTGCTAGTTCAGTGTTTGCGGTGACTTCATGGAACGCAACTACTGCATATAATGAGAACTATTTGACATTTTTCATACTACTGTAAATGCTAGCTTTTGAAATTTTCAGCGTTTAAAATATTTGTTACTGGTATTAAGAAATCCAGTTAATTTTTTCATAACTGCAGTATGGTCTATTAAAAATATTCAGCTAAGAGATTACATTTGAAAATTGCTGATAAATAACTCTGTACCAACTTTAGAAAATTTAAACTATTTGTCACTATTCCTTTAAAAATTTTACATTTTTTATATATTTTTTTTCGTTTTATATTTTATAATATTATTTTGCAAAATCATACAGGGTTTGGAAAGGTTAAAATGTATCACTCTTATTTTAAAATGGGATTCAAACTTTCTAATATGTCATTATTATGGGATCAATTAAAGAGGAATATAAATAATGAATAGTTTAGAAAACTGACAAATGAGCAAAGGAAACAAACAAACAAAAAACACCACTGAAGACTTATTTTTCCCCCAATGCATTGAATGGGTGGCCTTGAGAGAGCGACTCATGATTATTGAGAGGCAGTTGTGTATTTCCGATCGCACAGTAAGTCTGGTCTGTGGAGGCTCTGCAGTTCTATGAACGTTAGTGCAGGAGTAGGTCTGTGTAACTTCCACCACAGGCAGGGTACAGAGAGCTAAGCCGTCACCTTAGCGGTCACTCATCTGTCCCCCATGACTACAGTTTTCTCTGGTTGAGAATGTCACATAAATACAAGAGGAAAAGCACAAACTTTTTCACAATCTGGACTTTGCCCATCTCTCTAGCAAATCATTTGTTTTTATTTTAATCCTGTTTCTCGTTCAATACTTGGTCAAATGTCATTTCTCTGGAAAGTGTTCCTTGACCTCTGTTCACTGTCATCAGGCTAATTTATATGTCCTTTCTCTGGGTGTCCATAATATCTATGCATCTTCTATCAGTTTTCATCTCTGTTAGATTCCAAGTTTCTTGGGGAGCACAGATTATGCCTTATTCCAATTTGTTTCCCAATTGCCTATCATAGTATACACACATATGTGTATAACTAATTACTAATTAGGTATTTGAGTAATAGATTAATAATTGAGAGAGATGCTGAAGAAGGTGACATTGACGCTCCTAACGTTGGGTGTCTGGGTGCTGGAGCTGAGAAAAAATAAAAGGAACAGCACGTAGGAACTTTGCAAGAATTTGAGAAAGTTTCTTAGAAAAAAAAATCAGATTCCATTATTTATTAGATATTGTAACTCCACACGTGCGTTCAGGCAGTCTAGGACAAGTGTCTTCATAAATATTACTGTACTTGCTGGCAGTGATGCTAGGAACCAGTGGGGGTTGGATCAGGGGAGATTTCCAAACGATCGCCCATCTTCCTAGTTCTAAAGAGGGGCTTTGGAATCACCTCCAAAGTCAGTGGGACTGGGTAGTGGGGCTCCAGACCGCTGACCTCAGTTTTAATCAGAGCTCTGCTTTTGTTTCAATTTGAAGAAAGAGTTCTACTGCTTAAAAAAGTAAAACGTTGGAGCACCACGGCCTTAGACCAAATAGCAATGCAGCCCGTGTCCACGCTCGATGTACCAGCTCCCCCAGGACGTTTCCGCTGGGGTGTTCTTTACTTAGACCATTTTCTTTGGCATTTGATCCTATTAGCAGTTAGCATCCACTCTCGTCCTGCTTTCTTGAATTTCTGCCATGTTCCAGAAACTGCCATTCATTTGCCTGCTTCTCTGGAGGTCTGTCCCGGGAAGTGGCCTTCAGCCAAGTCCTGAAGCTCTTCACTGGGCAGCAGGCGCGTCATCTCCTCCCTTCAGAGCCCCTTGCAGCGAAAATCCTCAGTGGATAATTGTGTTAGCAATCAATAATCCTTTCGCTAAGACTGGTCATTTTTACTTATTTTATAGTGCTCATTACGTAGCACAGAATTATGAGACTTAGAAATAGCAGAACCAATACCACCTGCATTCCAAAGTCAAGTTTAGAAATAGCATTCTAAGTTAATACTACGCGCAATCATGATGACCTCGTCGTGTCTTCAACCACAGGTAAAGGAGTTCCCATTCTGAGTGGGAAGGGCAGCAGGTGATTGCCTTCAACGGAAGGTGACGGGGACAGGAGGACAGGGCGGGCTCAGGAGCGGAACTCCTGACGGGGAGGAAGAGCAGGTTCCGTGGGTGTGAAGGTGTGGAGGTGTCAGGAGAGGCAGCTCCAGCAGGAAGTCTCTGGAGGTGGAGCAGGTCTGAGCGATGACAAGATCCAAGATGAGGCCCTGCTGGTGGGCGGTGACGTAACGAGGAGAAGGTCAGCTTGTCAGGCAGCTGGTTGGACGGATGGCCGATGGGGCTTCTCTGGCCAGTTAGCTTTCTCCCACCCTGGGTGAAAGCTCGGCGCTTATAACCGTATCCACCAGCCCCACTTTCTTCTTGGCGATCGTCTTGCTGGAGGCTCTGTCCTCCTCTGACCTCCGGGTCAGATGCTCAGCCACCTCCCCTGCACCGTCGTCCTGGAGACTCGCTTTGCCTCTTACGTCTGTTGGGTTCCCGACTAAAGAACCCATGTCTTCCTCCTTTCTCTTTGTTGACTCCCTTGTTTTGGTGGAGAAAACACTTGAGGAAGTTCCTGAGAAAAGGTGCATGGAAAGAAAATTTTTTGAGACCCTTCACGTATAACTGTCTCTAACCTCATTCTCGACTGGTGGTTGAAGGTAGTAACCATCGTCTTCCAGGTTCTAAGGTGGCTGCTGAGAAGTCTAAGGTTGTCCTGTTTACTTCCCATCAAGTTCACTGAGTCTCTCCTTGGCGTGTGTTCGGTCTGCTGATTCATCCATTGAAGGAGTTCTTCAATTTGATGTCATGTTCATTCACTTCCAGTTCTTCTTTATTCCAGTTCCCATGTCTCTGCTGAAAGTCGTCATGCATGCTGTCCACCTTGTCTGGTAGATCTTTTAACAGATTAATCACTATTTTAAAGAAGTAGTTACAACATCTGGGTCACCTCTGAGTCTCATTCTGTGGACTCTTTATCCCTTAACAATGGGTGTTTTTTTCTTGCTCTTACATATGTCTTGTAATTTTTGATTGAATATAGGACATTGCAGGCAGAAGAATAGCAGAGACCTAGGTAAACAGAATTTATACGCAGAGATGGGCATGTGTCTGCTGTCAGGACTTGGTGTGGAGGGCTTATCAGATGTAGAGTAGATGAGCAGGGTCTGGGTTTCGTCGTTACCGTCGTTACCGTCATTGGACCGCTGGCCTCCACTGCCTCTGGCAACAGGACACAGTTGTGCCTGAGCTCAGAGAGGGGACCCAGCAGCTAGAGGGTTTTCTCAGTTTCCCTGACGCCAGTTTCTAGCTTTAGCTGTCCCTACGTTACTGCACCATAGAGGAGGGGCCTCTCTCCAAGGCACCCCCCGACCCTCACAGTAGACCGCCGTCCACTGTTACTAAGTGTGTGGCTTGGGGCGGGGGTAGGGGGGTTTCTGCTCTCCTGTTTCAGTCTCAGTCTTGGGCAGGCCCTGCGCACCTTGGCCTCAGGGATGGATCCCCACTCCCACCCCCACTCCTGTCCCCTTGGTAACCAAACTGCCTGTATCCAACGTGCATAGGCTTTTCCTGCCCCTCCCTCATCAGCTGCAGACCACTTCTTGGCAGACACGTAGGATCCTGGACCCCAAACATTTTCCTCCCCTTCCTGTGGTGCTCCAGGATTTTTGCTTCCACCTCCCTCCATGTCCTGGGAGAGGCTCTGCCTTGTCTCTCCTGAAGCAGGTGGGTCTCTCTCTTACTCCTGCCCCAGAAGCAACAGGCAAGAGGGACTGCTGCCCCTCCCCCCACAGCTCTCAGTTCTCAGCAGAGAGGGAGCTGAGGAAGGGGGACGGGGCGCCAGCAGCTGCCTGTCCTGCACGCCTGCGCTGTCAGCGAGGGCCCTTCTGCCCTTCGGCCTTGTCCCTTCTTCTGAGCAAGAGCCTGCTGGAGGCCCAAGGACATGAACTTGCAAGTGACCGCAGACCCCCTTGCAGCAGTGAGGTCACAGCTGTCCCCCTGCTGCTGAGACGGCGCTGGCCACTCCCTCGTCCACTTTCCATTCCCACATTTTGTTGGTTCGGTCTCATCTGCTACCGTCTTTCCTCTGATTTTATCCTTGGGGAGTTAGACATTTAAATACATAATTTTGTGGTCATTTGAATGGGGCTTGGGGAAGAGAACAGATAAAACATGCATTCGATCTGCCATCTTTCCACTATTTCTTTGATAGCATTAGGATGAAGGAAAGCCGATGACACTGAGTAGGAAGTGAGACGAGATAGGAAAGGCCCAGTCACGTGGCAACAGGGTCTGTGGCAGGGAGGGGTTGGTTAGCGCCTCCTTGTTAGAGGTTATTGATGTTTAGTTTGGAAAATAGAGTATGGGGACTCCCCTGGCGGTCCAGTTGTTGGGAGTATGAAGAGTTGAGACAGACAGAACAGAGGAGCTACCTGAAATCAGTCAGCAAGGACCCGCTAGATGGGAAATGACCTTGATTGTAATTCATTCCTTGCCTTGATGGAAACTCACTATTTATAAAAAAAAGAGAAAAGAAAAGTCTCTCTTCCTTTTTATTATTATTTAATAGTTTATTTTCCATACTCTTCTTCTGATTAATATAAAAGTTATTAATTACTAAATAATTAGGATATTAGAACTAAAATCCTATGCCGCTCAGCTCAGTTTAAGGTCAATTTTGACTACTTATAAAAAGGGATCTTACACAGGCAGCCTCAGGAGGATTTATTTCACTAAGTGTTATAGAAATAAACAACTTGTTTCAGCGCCTAGCACACGTCAACTATATAAAGAATGAGCCTGCCCTGAGCGTTCAGTGTGATGGCGAGATGCGCATTACTCTTCACGTGGTTGAATACAGCATTAAAATGAAGCTCGGTTCTGTTCAAGGAATGCTGATTGAACTCTTGCAGGTTCTGCATTTGCACCGATGAAACGAAGAGGAACACATCGGTCCCTCAAGCCCTTGGGCCAACGTCACGTCATGTGGAGACGTGACGGCCGTGTGGGTGACATGCTCCCTGGTGGCAGCACACGGGCACACACGTCCGCCGTGGTGCTCTCCGGGGCCAGTCCTGCACATCTGTCGCCAGCGCCACGTTCACTATTGTTGCTGGCTTGGCCTCACCTGTGGTGGGAGTGTCTGCCCGTCAGAAATAAGCAAACGGTGCAAATCAGGGCTCTCCCCGCAGAGAGCCAGCTGTCGGACATTTTCCAGTTCGCCCTGCTGCCTTGGAAGTCTCTCCACCTGAGACTGCTTCTCCCCTGGACTCGTGTCCTTCTCAGCCCCGTGCCCCCATGGCTTGTCTCGGTGAGGGCCAGGGGCCGACTTTCCCGGCCCGTCTGCACCGTTTCTTTCTCTTTCACACCGAACCGACCCGTCAGCAAATCCTATCAGCTCGGCCTTCAGGAAACACGGAGAAGCAGCCTCTGCTCGCAGCCTCCACGTGGTCCCGGCACCGCGATCTCACCGCCCGTGTGTCTGCCTGCGGGACCTCCAGACGCCTCCCTGCTCGGCCCTTAGAGACTTTTCTCCACACAGCAGCCAGTGTCCTGTGTGCAGTCAGATCACGTCACTTACCTGCTCAGCATCTTCATTTTGGGGGGCGGGCTGCCACCTCGCTGGGGGTCGACGCCCGCATCGCCGCAGGTGGCCCCCAGGTTGCTGGTGCGGCCTCCTCGCCTCCCCCAGAGGCCCAGCCCACCTGCTCCGCTGCTGCCCCTCCACAACGCCAGATGCGTCCCGCCCCAGGGCCTCGGCCCCTGCGGAAACGCCTCCCCAGACAGCCCTCACCTCTGTCAGATCTCGCTCAGGCACCCCACACGGGGCCTACCCGGTCGCTGTGCTTAAAAGGTGCTCACAAGCCCCGGGTGGCCCGGCCGCTCGCCCACCCTGCCCTGCGGGGTCCGCACACCCTGGCCCGTGTGCTCGGCGTGGTTCTGTGCACCTGCTGGCCCTCTGACGCCCCCCGCGCGGGACAGGAACGCATAGGGCGGGGACTTCTGTTTGCTGCAGCACCCGCGGCAGCGGGCCAGGGGGAGCGGTGGGGCGGGCTAGAGGTCACCCCGGTGTCCCAGGGCTCACGGGGGACGCGAACCGAGCTGTGCGGCTGCGCTGCTGTCGCCCCCAGGACGCAGCCCCGCTGGAGCGGGTGCGGCAGGTCGGCCTCCGCCCACGTGTGGCTCACAGGCACACCCAGGGCGGGCCGTGCCAGGCCACGTCCACTAACACAGTCATGACCAGCTAATGCTCTGTCAGGGATTGGCCGGCAGCAGGCGGAAGCACGGGCCGCCAGGAGGGGACAGTGACCGACTGAGGCTGACCCTTGCCGGTCTGTGTGCGTGGCCTGCGGGCACGGAGCGCGTCCCCTGCACGGTCTCCCCGTCGGGCCTCGGGGGTCTCTGCGCACAGGTCACGCCTTCCTTATGGAAGAGAGAAACGAGGCTCAGAGCGGCTAAAGGACGCCTCCACAGACACAGAAGCGGCGGGAACACAGAGCCCTCCAGCGCGCTTTCTGGACCCCAGAGGAGCCAGCCCTGGCCTGTGCCGCTGGACACTGTCGTGTAAACTGCCTTTGGGTGCGCGGTGCGGGCTGCCCACCTCGGACCAGATCAAAGGCGCTGGGAGGGGTCACTCTCTCCCTTGGTTCACCCCTCGGGCTAATCCAACGCAGAAAGATCAAAATACACTAAAAGGACCACGGTCCCAGAGACATGGTGAAATCACAGAAGGTCGCTTGTTGGGTGCCAGCCTGTACCAGAGGCTGTTCTAGGGGCTTCCCATGCCTTCCTTCAAGTCCTCAAACTAACCACGCAGGGTTAGGCGGTGTATTCCCATTGTATGGACAGGGAGACCGAGGCTCAGAAGTGTCACGTTACCTGCATCGGTCCCCGGGGCTCGGTGAGGCCGGTCTTGGAACAGATCTGTCTGGCGCTGAAGCCCACGTTTGCTCTGCTGCACCGGGCTGTCCCCTCACAGCACGTCCCAGGTTCCCTGCGAGGGCCCTTCTCCTGCGCTATCAATGCTCAAGAAACACAAAAGACGAGGGTATGTTTGGGAGACAGACTCTCTCAAGGCCTTTGCCAGGCTGCAGGTTTCAAAGGCGGAACGTGAATGTCTCCTGCTCGTCGGGTTCGGGCGTCTGTTGTGTTCTTACCCACATCTCCTTATTTATATTCTCTTTATATTTGATCCATCAAACGGAAATGTCCCTTCAAGAAGAATCCGGCCATTATCTGGGGGGACTGGAGGCTGGTGAGAAGAAAATTAAAAGACGCTGACGGCTGTATGAGAGAGCGGCGAGCCCAGCTGCTTTTGGAGGAGGGGCTTCACGTTGTTTTAGTGCTGAGGGCAGCCCGGGAGATCCCGCCAGGGTCCGCCCTACACTGGGACTTCTGACGTTAAGTAATTTTTCTAGCCCCGTTGATGGGCTTTATGGCAGAACACATTGCTGTGTGAGTTTCAGCTGTTAGTACTCACAGAATCTGGCTTGGGAAGACGGTGATTGGGAAAACACAGGAATCGCAAGAAGGGTGTGTGTGTGACTCAGTAAGTGGTGTGATGCCTCCTGAGTCCAGGCTGAACCCAGATTTCACCGGACATGCAAAACTGCAGGGCTCACTAGGGGACCCAGCCTTTCCCCAGCACCTTAGATGTGCACTTTCTTTCCTGGGCAAATACCACATGCTTCCAAATATACATAACACCATCGAGAGGATGTTTCTTATCCAATGGTTCCTTTTATCAGGTAGAACTTAAATCACCTGGATACGCTGGGAAACAGTTAATAAAAATCTAGTTAGTGTCTTAGATTCAGAACACAATGTTAGGAGCTATAAGATGATACAAACCTTTAAAGGGCTTACCTTAGGAGACGGAAGATACAGATATACAGACACACACACACGCATCAGAGCACGTGGGCTTTGAGACAAAATGCCCTCGATCACGGTAGTTCTTTGGCTTCTTTCTACAATTATTACAATGTCGGAAAGATCCTCTTCCTTCCTCAAATTCTCCTTGAAAAACAATCAAGGTCCGTAGTGACAAGCCTGGTGGCCTCAATGCTGAGTGTCACGTTCTCAGGAATTTCTGCCAGCCCTGAGCTGGTTTTCTCCGTCCTCACCCAGGCTCTATGAGAGGTGTTTGATTTCTTTACGCAGTCCCTAACGTCTGACCCATTCTGTATCCTTCGCGATTGGGGCAACCCCTCAAGGAATCGGGATCAGCACACTTTGTCGGTGCTGGTGGGCATGGGGACCGCGGAGCCTGGGTTGGGACCCCTGCATCCCCGGAGGACTGGCCTTCGGGTTCATTTGAGGAGAACTTCCAGAGAGAGTACACGGGTTAAGAGGGAAACAACAAGGCCACGGATTGGGGTTTCTGCATTTATTTCTTGTTGTCTGATGGACACACGGCTGAATGCCTAAGTCAGTTCACCAAACCTCGAGCAGACCACATCATCCAAGCTCGTAAGCCATCGTGCTGCTCCGAGAACACCATCACATTCACCGCACAAGGGGAAGAGTAATCGGAGAGCAGCACGGCTGTTAGGAAGCACGTGCACTCTGATTCAGAGGAGAAGTCCTCAGACTGGAGCCCACCGATTTAGAATTACGTGCAAAAAGAGGATCACCGGTCTCACAGCCGTGTTTATATCCACAGACACAAAGGTCGGAAGATCAGAAATGCGGGAGATGGCATTGGGTTTAAACGGGCCGACGGTGAGAACAGAGGACGGGGAAGCAGCAGCTCTGATGGGACTGGGGCTCGGTGGAGAGGTGAACAGCCTGGGAGCCTGAGGAACTCCACGGACCCCACTCTGTTACAACACAGCCCATCGTGGGGACCCACGGTGGTGGCCCTGGGCCATCGCAGGTGAACTATGTCGGCTGCTCTGTTTGGAAGAATCCGTGTGATTCACACAATATGTGACAAATATCTGTAACAATATGAATGTAATTACTGTAGTTAGACACAAACCAGAATTCTCTCCAAAACGCGCTTGGGCGGAGCAGCTGCTCACCGAGACAGGCCGCTTCGGCGTGGGAACAGCATCGTGCTCACCGTGCGGGGCTGGGGGAGACCCCGGGCCGGGACTGAGGTGCCCAGACCTGACTTTCCAGGAAACCTCCATGGGGCCGTGCAGGGGGCAGAGGGCGGAGGGCGGGAGGCAAGGCCACCGGGAGGCTTCTGTGAGGTCCCAGGAGAGCAAACGAGCTCTGGAGCTGGGGCGGAGTGTGAATGCGGAGGACGGCCGCTCATGTGGGCGCTGCTAGAACAAACCCTGGTGACTCATTCGATGGGGGATCATGGCGGTGTGGTCCAGGTGCCTGGACAAGCCTGTGGGTGGAGAGGGAGACGATGGGGCTGGTCTTGGCCCTGCTGAGTCTGGGCACTGACATGTCGGCCTGGACAGGGACAGGTTTGGGAGGTGATAGTATGCAGCTGGCGGGTGGCTTCCTGGGCGTGGACTGGAAGTTCCAAGGCAGAGCGCGTGGGAGAGGAGGCGGGGCGAGGGGAAAGGGGAGGAGCTTGTGAAGGAAGCTGGGAAGCAATTGAAGAGCCCTGTCCTCGCCTTAGAAACAGGAGTAAAACTCCCTACGGGCCTGAGGTCCCTGGAGCAATGATCTCTTCCCTCGTACCCGACCACCTCACATTTAAGTGTTAACTACGTTTCCTTATGCTTTTATTTTTTATTTTAAAATTTATTTATTTATTTTTGGCTGCGTTGGGTCTCTGTTGCTGCCCACGGGCTTTCTCTAGTTGCGGCGAGCAGAGGCTACTCTTTGTTGCGGTGTGCGGGCTTCTCATTTCGGCGGCTTCTCTCGTTGCGGAGCACGGGCTCTAGGCACGCCGGCTTCAGTAGTTGTGGCACACGGACTCAGTAGTTGTGGCTCGCGGGCTCTCGAGCGCAGGCTCAGTAGTTGTGGCGCACGGGTTTAGTTGCTCTGCAGCATGTGAGATCTTCCCGGACCAGGGCTCGAACCCATGTCCCCTGCATTGGCAGGCGGATTCTTAACCACTGCGCCACCAGGGAAGTCCCGGCCTTTTTAATGTTAAGTTACACCAAATGCTTTCTGCAAATAGGTGACGTATAAATTATAAGTAAACAGATCATTTTCTTGATTCTGGTGGATCGTAGGCCTTTGTTCCTAAATATCATGACTAGAAGGGCCTTGTGTGGACTTCCGGTTATGCTGCTTTTTCATTTGTAAAAGTTTAACCTCCCCTTCACTTAGTTTATGCATAATAGGTTGTCAAACAAACATCCTTCTTTAAAAAGCAAAAGCAAGCAACATTACATAATGTAATGACTGCCTTTGTCTTCCACTCTTCCCATATTCCATTCCAGAGATTTTCAAATCACAGCATTCGGTAAAACTTCTTCTCTATGTGTACTTTTCATCCCGCGGTGACTACCATGTTCCTAATGTCTGTTTAGCCAACAAAAGTACTCGCCCCTGTGTTTCCATGATTTTAGAGTTTTCTCGCTTTTCTTTATCTGCAGTATTAGATCAGGCTGATGACTCTGCTGTCTATCTAGAATCTAGCCACTATATGCACCAGGAATTCTACTTCTTCTGGAGGAGGTATTCAGTGTTCTGGGTCCACAATGGAATAGGCCTTGATCATTCCTTACTGAATTGTTAAAATGCCAAAGACCCCAACCCCGCCAAGTGTTATGAGATGCTCTGGTGCAGAGCTCGGCCCTGTGGCAGACGCTCCAATGTATTCGGTTACCTGTGAAGGTAGCGCTGAGCAGCGTGCTGGCTGGTCATTATGCTTGGACGGAGAAACGGCCAGATGTGTGATTACAGACTGTGCTCAGTGGTTTGGCTGGACGGTCAGGAGCTCCGAAGGAACACGATTGGAAAATTGGCGACAAAGAAGTCTGGGGAAGAAGCACGTGTGTAGACCTCTCTGAAGGGCAGAAACATGGAGGTACGTGTGTCCCGTGTGGGTGCTCACCAGAGGGTGATGATCTCCGGAGAGGAGATCGGTAACCAGGCGATGGGCTGATCTGATCTGAGGACACCAGTCGGCCTCTCTCCTCAGCCACCCCGGGGCTCGTGAACAAGGGGGCTGCAGTGGCAGAGTCGGAGGTCACGTGTGAGCTCAGCAACGTGGACTTCCACTCACCAGGGCTGGCCTGGCTGTGGCCGCCACCGAGAGGCCAGCCTGCCCCCACTATGGCAACACTGACTCCTCAGGGTGACCAACCAGCTTCCTGGTGGCAGGTTGACTACATTGGGCCACTTCCATCATGCAAGGCGCAGCGTTTTGTTCTTACTGGAATAGACACTTACTCTGGATACGGATTTGCCTTCACTTCATGCAATGCCCAAACTACGGTCCATAGACTTCCAGAAAGCCTTATCCACCGTCACGGTGTTCCAGGCAGCACTGCTTTGGACCAGGGAAATCCCTTCACAGCAAATGAAATGCAGCAGTGGCCCATGCTCGTGGAATTCACTGGGCCTACCATGCTCCCACCTTCCTGAAGCAGCTGGCTTGCTGGACCGACAGGATGGCCTTTGGAAGACAGTGCCAGCCAGGAGGCAATAGCTTGCAGGGCTGGGCCAAGGGTCTCCAGGAGGCTCTGAACGAGCATCAGGTATACGGAGTGGGGCTCCCAGAGCTGGGACTGCTGAGTCCAGGGGTCAGGGGTGGGGCCACTCACCAGCACCCTGGTGCCCCACTAGCAGAATTTTTGCTCCCTACCCCCGCAACCTAATGCTCTCCGGGCCTGTGGGTCCTAGTTCCACAGGGAGAAAGTCTTCCACCAGGAGACACAAAAACGGTTCCACTGAACTGGGAGGCGGCCACCTGGCCACCTTGGGCTCCTCGTGCTTCGGAATCAACCCTCAGAGAAGGGGGTTCCTTGCTGGCTGGGGGGGCTGATCCTACCGCCAAGGGGAAATTGGATGACAGCTCCACAGTGGAGATGGAGGTGAAGATTCTGCGGCACCGGAGATCCCTAGGGCATCTCAGCACCGCCAGGCCCTGGGCTTAAGGTCAGTGGAAAACTACAACACCCCAACGAGGCAGGACTACTGATGGCCCAGACCCTTCAGGAGCAAAGGTTTGCGTCACCCGCCAGGTGAAGACCCACGACCAGCTGAGGTGCCTGCTGAGGGCCAAGGGACCACGGAATGGGCGGGCAAAGAGGACACCTCTAAACACCAGCTATGGCCAAGGGACCACGGAATGGGCGGGCAAAGAGGACACCTCTAAATACCAGCTATGGCCAAGGGACCACGGAATGGGCGGGCAAAGAGGACACCTCTAAACACCAGCTATGGCCACGCGACCAGTCACAGACCTGAGGACTGTGGTTGTCTTCAGTGTATCTGTCCTGTTTTGTTATGAATACGTTGCGTGTAAATATTAAGCACATACCTTTGTTTTCTTCTCTCTTCTGTTCCCTTATCATGTAACACAAGATGTGTTGACTTTACATCCTAGTATTTAAGTTATGATATCAAGGAGAAGACTGAACCTCACGCAAGGACGCTGTATCCTTTTCTGGAAAAGACTCAGTGTTTGTGGTGCACAAAGGATGGCTGTACCACGTGAGGTGGCGGCACGGCCTTGTAGTTAATCTTCATCGGAGATTACGTGTGCTCCAAGGGGATGTGTGTGGGTGTCCGGTGGACAGCGGGTGTACTGGTGACGGTTAAGCTCATGTGTCAACTTGTCTGGGCCGCGGGGCCAGATATTGGGTCGAACACTCTGGATGTGTCTGGGAGGACGTTTTCGGATGAGATTAACATTTCAATTGATGGACTTTGAGCAAAGCAGGTTGCCTTCCGTAACGTGGGTGGGCCTCATCCAATCAGTTGAAGGCCTGAAGAGCACAGAAAGTCCGATCTTCTCTGAGTCAGAGGGAATTCTGTAGCAGACGCCTCCCGACTGGCATGGCAACACAGGCTCTTCTCAGAGTCTCCAGCTGCCGGTCCATCCTGAAGATCTGGGACTCACCAGCCTCCCTAATTACATGAATCAGTTCCTTAGAATAAATCTCTTCCTCTATGTACACATCATATCCATTCTGTTTCACTGGAGAACCCTGACTAATACATTCTCCTAAACTCTCACCTGGAGATTGCTACCTTATTGCATTTAAATTATTCTTATTTAGTTCTAGATTCTCACATGCTTCAGATGTACCCGATTGTGTGTGTGTGTGTGTGTGTGTGTGTGTGTGTGTGTGTGTGTGTGTACATGATTATGAGGAACTGGTTTAGTTCTGTAACGTTAAAACGAGACTGGGGCCATTACACGATAAAATGCAAAAAGCTATCTGCACTCAGCTTGGGAGCAAACACAGCTCGACCTCTGTTCGATGCTGGGACAGAGACCAGCCCACCTCCTAACACCCGGGCCCAGTTTACAGAAGAGTAAGTTGAGCCAGTGTGTCCTCCGAGCGGCACCCCAGAGGCTCCCCAACTTCACAGGATCCAAAGAATCCCGAAGGCAGAGGGTGAGGTGCAGCCAGGTGGGCCCCTTGCAGCAAACAAGCCCACCACCTTCTGCAGCCGCAATTAACTACAGAATCACGTACACACCCATTTCCTTTAATCCTCAAATATCAAAAGCCAAACTGTTTTCCTGCACTAGAAAGATGAAGCGGGTGGTCTGTGGTCACGATGACCGTGAAGGTGCAGATCTGTGCAGTGGAGCTCGGGGGCGACCCATCCGTAGTATCGGGGCTGGGACTTGCAACCTGTGCACGGGGAGACCTGCTCCCGTGTGGGGGCCTGGGCAACCACCACACGCGTGTCCCTCCCGATGACACCATGCACATCCCAAGGCACTTCCATGCCCATCATTTAGAAAGTGCTACCCCATCGTATACACACAGGGGCATATTTATATCTAAGTTTTTTTTTTTTTTTAGATGTTGGGGGTAGGAGTTTATTAATTAATTAATTTATTTTTGCTGTGTTGGGTCTTCGTTTCTGTGCAAGGGCTTTCTCTAGTTGCGGCGAGCGGGGGCCACTCTTCATCGCAGTGCGCGGGCCTCTCATTATCGCGGCCTCTCTTGTTGCAGAGCATAGGCTCCGGACACGCAGGCTCAGTAGTTGTGGCTCACGGGCCTAGCTGCTCCACGGCATGTGGGATCCTCCCAGACCAGGGCTCGAACCCGTGTCCCCTGTACCAGCAGGCAGATTCTCAACAAGTGCGCCACCAGGGAAGCCCTATATCTAAGTTTTTAACCCAACTTCCTACCTCTGCAGCCATATTTCCTAGTTAAGGGTGCTTTATAGAAAGCACTAGAAAACTTGGGAACCTGAGCTCTGCTCCCCCAGATGAGCCCCACCAGTGGGAGACATCTATGCTGAGCCGGCCCAGAGCCTGAAATGCCCAGGGCTGGGAGACAGTTCCTTAGCTGGGACCATTAAACACCAAAATAGTTCAGATAAATTCTTCCTAAAAAGCCAGTAAGACCCCTTCTGGGTCCTGCTTCTGCAGGTAAGAAGCTTTGAAAACGCTGCTACACACTCAGCAACAGGTAAAAAG